GGGGGGAAGGGGCGGGGCCTGAGGAGGCGGGGCCCACAGAGGAGGTGGATCTCCGGAGAGAGAGAAGGAGCCTGTTCAAGAGGCGGGATCTGCAGAGAAGGTGGGGCCTGCAGAGGAGGTGGGCGAGGTGGGGGCGGAGAAGGAGCCTGCTGGGGAGGCGAGGGGCCTGGGGAGGAGGCGGGGCCCGCAGAGAAACCTATGGGATTTAGGTCCTGGCCTTTGGGGCGTGTCTGTCAGGCTACCCTGGACGTTGGGGCCTCCCCACATCCTTAGCCTGCATTTCCTCTTGGCTTCCTGCTTCCCGTTGTCAGGTACCTCTGCTTTCCCAAAGTGAGAAATGAAACATTGTATTCAGTAATTCAGTTTGTGCTGCTGGAGATGGACAAGGGTGTCCTGTGGGGAGAAGGGGTGCCCCGGCTCCTCCTGGCTCCAGGATGCCAACTTGGGCCTTGGGGACCAGTTCCCCTAAGGGTTATTTTCTGTCCACAACCGACGTAAGGGGGAGTTCTTCACAGCCCCAGTTTACAGGGCTGAGCTGCCTCTGGCTTCTGGGATCCTCTTTCTTTTTTTGTTTTTGAGTTGGAGTCTCACTCTGTTGCCCAGACTGGAATGCAGTGGCCAGCGGCCACTGCAGCCTCGACCTGCTGGGCTCCGGTGATCCTTCTACCTCAGCCTTCCAAGTAGCTGGAACTACAGGCGCACGCTACCACGCCCGGCTAATTTTTTGATTTATTGTAGAGATGAGGTCTCACCAAGTTGCCCAGGCGGGTCACGAACCCATGGGCTCAGGCAATCCAACTCACCTCAGCCTCCCAAAGTGCGGGATTACAGGCTGAGCCGCTGAACCCGGCTATGGGATCCTCTTTCTATCAGGGTCCACCTCTCCTTTATTTTTAAACTTTAATTACAGAAAGTTCCAAGTATATAGAAAATATGCATAATAGTACAGTGCAGTGTGGCTGTCTCATTAGATCTATACTTCTTACTGTCCACCCCTATACTTTATTTTTTTAGGAAAAATTTGCATAGAATGAAATGCATAGATTTCAGCTTTGCACTCTTGACGACTGGGGTCTTGGGTTTTATGTTCATGCAGTCAACCGACACAGCTAAACTCTGGCTTCGGGCAGATCCCTGAGGGTGCCAGGCACCTGCGCTGGGACATGGGATCCAGGAGGGATGAGGGGTCTGCATCTTAGCCTAATGCACATGAGAGGCATGCCTGCAATGTGCTTCTCCAGGACACCTGGGTGGAGCAGAAGGAGCTTGGTACTGCCCGTATCTGGTCTCAGCAAGATGGCCAGCAAGCGCTGGGTCAGGGGTGAGCGTGGACAGGATGCTTTGTTGTAGGGGACAACAGAGGTCAGGAGCAGAAGAGTCTTGTGGATGCTGGGGACATCTGCGGATGCACACATGGTGATGGCATTCACTTATTCCCTCACCAAATGTTTCCTTTCTGCCCATGTCTGGAGTTCTTTCTTTCCATTCCCCCCTGCAGGGGCTGCTGAGGCATCTGCTCTTAGGAGACTGCTCCTTCTGTCCAGAAGCACCATCTTCTGCCTCCTGGCGCTTTGACCTCCCCCTTCACCCGTCCACATTTATTGCACGTTTACTGTATATAGTGCTGTGTCTAGACATGGTAGGGGGTGCATCCAGTTGATAGACTAACGAAATGAAGCAAAAGGCATTTGCTCGGGTCTGGTGCCCTTGTAATGCATCATCACCAGGCACCTGTAGGAGGGTCTAGTTCTGTTATCCTGCATGTAGTATCACAGTGTCTTAGTGTCTTCTTGATGTCTGTCAAGAGGGGGAGGGGTTTATTTTTGTTGTTGTTGTTGTTGTTGTTTTTTAGTTGGGCTCTCACTCTGTCGCCCAGGCTGGAGTGCAGTGGCACAGTCATAGCTCACCACAGCCTTGACCTCCCAGGCTCAGGTGATCCTTGTGCCTCAGCCTCCTGAGTAGCTGGGACTATTGGTGTGCGCCACCACACTCAGCTAATTTTTTGTTGAGACAGGGTCTTGCCATGTTGTCCAGGCTGGTCTCAAACTCCTGGGCTCAAGCAATCCTCCCACCTCAGCCTCCTAGGCGTGAACCCTCTGCCTGGCCACAGAGGAGGAGATTCTCCAGATGCGAGCAGGGCCAGCTGCCGGTGGAGTCGTTGCTGCTTCCCTGTAGCCCCTGCTCACCACAGCATGTGGTGGTCACTCAGGCCTTGTTGTGGCTGGACAGTTGACTGGAGGCCCCTTGGGTCTGTCTGCAGAAGGGCCACAGGTTTAGAAGTGTGGGGACCTGGGACACCAGGATGAGAGATCTGTATTCATTTCATTTGACCCTTGAATCAGGCTTGGTATGGTGGCTCACACCTGTACTTGTATATATGTGTGTGCACACATGCAAGTGTATGTGTGCGTGCATGTCAGTGTGACAGCTAGCCCTTGGCAGCTCTTGGGCAAGCTTCCGTTCCCTGGCAGGCCAATCCAAGAACAAGGCATCGCAGGCTCCTAGGGAGGCTCCCTGTCTCCGAGATGGATTGGCCGTCATATGCAGGCTGGTTTGGCTGTTTGTTTGGTGGTTTCTTTTAGGTTAGTTTGTGTTTAGTGATCCACCCGGGAGCTTATTTGTGATTCCCTAAAGGACTCTTGGTGTTGCTGAAAGGCTGAGGGGCGAGAGCTCCATTGACAGGGCATCGAGGGGTGGTGGAAGCAGATGGGGCCCTGGCCTGGACCTCACCCCCAGCGGCTGCCCGGTCCCATCCCCCTCACATCTGCAAAGAAGCCTCCAGAGGACCCTATCTCTTCAGTGCAGTCGTGCTCGGCTTGCAGGGGGTGTTCCCTGGAGGGAAGGAGGCCCTGGCCTCATAGAGGCCCCAGCCACACTCACAGCGAGTACTTCCCGACAGGCATGGTGCCCTGAGGACACGTGAGGCAGAGCTGCAGGAGCTGGAGACGGCCCTAGCAGCTGAGCAGGAGGCGCTGGAGCAGGAGCAGAGGGCCAGTGCTGTCGCCACAGGCGAGAACCAGCGGCTGCGGGGGGAGCTAGACAGGTGAGTATGGCATTCAATGCCTACAAGACCTGGGCCGAGTGAGTTCCCAGCCTCGTGCGTTCATGCCCCTTGTCATATGGACAGCTGAGCGGGTCCTCAGGCACAAAGTCTGGCTGCATGCTGGGCTGCGAGAACTCGGGTGTACCTAGGCATGAGCTTGGTCCGTGTCCTCTGGTCCCTACCCACATATGGCAAGTGTGTCGGGCATAGGCATGTGTGTCTGATGTGAGTCTGCGGGGCTCACCGGAGCTGCAGCTGGCCCTTGTTACCTAGAGTCCCACATGCTGCAGTGTCTGTGACCCCAGGGTCAGTGTCTGTGGGCTGCCGTGGCCAGGCACAGAGTCCTAGATGTGCACAGTCCCAGCCGTGGTTGAGCAGAGGGATGCCCTGCCTTCTCTGTCCAGCTCCTGCTGCCAATGGGTATCCTCATTGAATCTCTGTAGTGCCATGTTTTTTGTACTCTGTGTTTTTTGGGGTGATCTTGCTGTTGACGATGGCCCCACGTACAAGACCGAAGTGCCACCTGTTGTTCACAGGCATGAGTGGCCTGTGGCATGCTGTATAGAAAGTGCGTGTGCTGAGTGAACCTTGCATGGCACTGTGGGCTGCAAACCTGTCACATGAGGTGTCTTTAAACAGAAATTTGCATCAAACGAGATAATGGGTTGATCAGGTGACAACAGCCTCATGACCAGAGGCTCCCAGGAACCTGACCCTGTGTTTTCCCCAAGAGGAAGACTTCGATATTCACTAATTCATTGTTGCACCTGTTTACAGAACACCAGAACTGACTGTACTGTCACTGTCCTTTGTTATTTTGTTTTGTTTTGAGTCAGGGTCTCACTCTGTTGCCCAGGCTGGAATGAAGTAGCATTGCATGATCATGACGATCATGGCAGCCTTGACCTCCTGGGCTCAGGCAATTCTCCTGCCTCAGCCTCCTGAAGTAGCTGGAACTATAGGCATGTAACATCACACCCGACTAATTTTTTTTTTTTTGTAGCGACAAGGCATTGCTATGTTGCCCAGGCTGGTCTTGAACTCCTGGGCTCAAGTATCTGCCTGCCTTGGCTTTCTAAACTGCTGAGATTACAGGTGTGAGCCACTGCACCCAGTCTATCCTTTTCCTTTTTTTTATTTCTTTGAGTCAAAGTTTCACTCTGTCCCCAGGCTGGAGTGTAGTGGTGTGATCATGGCTCACCACAGCCTCAACCTCCTGGGCTCAGATGATTCTCCCACCTCAGCCTCCAGAGTAGCTATGACCACAGGTGTGCTCCACCATGCCTGGCTAATTTTTTTTTAAATTTATGGATGAGTTCTCACCAAGTTGTCCAGGCTGGTCTCAAACCCCTGGGCTCAAGCAATCTTCCCACCTCAACCTCCCAAAGTGCCTGGATGACAGGCATGAGCCACTACGTCCAGCCCCATCCTGTTTTGTTTTTTTTTTTAAATGAGAAAATAGGTTCAGAGAGATTAACTTGTCCAAGGTCAGTGCTTCTAGTTAGAATCGAGTTTGAATCTGGGTCTGGTTGCAAAGGCTTGACCGCAAGAAGCTCTTCTTGGGTGAATGTGTGCTGGGGTTGCAACTTGGGTGCCCTGGATACCAGGCAGGTCCAGCACGTGGGCAGGACAGTGTCAGAGTCAGGCCGCAGGCGGGGAAATGGAGACTGCACACTGACCGGAAGGGCAGCTGGGGTGGCTCCCACCAAGGTGCCCCAGGGGCAAGCCCAGGGCCACCGGCTCAGCCTTTTGATTTATGTTTTTCAAGAGAACCCGGACATCTAGATGTTGGTATGAAATTTCTGAGTTTTTACTTGTTGGCCACTAATTTGTTTTTAAAAAACAAAACTGCACAGGCTGAGTACAACACATCTGTGTCCAGGTCAAGTCCGTGAGCCCTTGGCAACCCGAGCTTTCTGATGGAGTCTCAGGAGAGAGGCCAGCTGATAGTCACGATGACAGAGGTCACTTTAACAGGTCACCTTGAGGCTCCCATCGCAAGTCTTAACTCAGGAGTTGGAATTGGAAATGGCAGGAACTGGAGAGGAGCTGGTTGGAGACATAATTCTGGAGCCAAAGTATCTTGCTCAGTGTTTAAAAACCATCAATGGCAGGATCCTTTTCTCCAAGTCTGCAGAGATGCCAGAGCTGCCAGATAAGAGGAGATAGCAGTTGTGAGGCTCTGTTTGTTGAATTGGGGTCTCATTCTGTCACCCAGGCTGGAGTGTGGTGGCACAATCACAGCTCACCACAGCCTTGACCTCCTGGGCTCAGGAAAGCCTCCTTCCTCAGCCTCCCTATTAGCTAGGCATACGGGATCCACCACCACACTCAGCTAATTTTTTTATTTTTATTTTTTTTTTGCAAAGACGCGGTCTTGTTTTGTTGCCTAGGCTGGTCTCAAACTCCTAGACTCCAATGATCCTCCTACCTTGACCTCCCAGAGTGCTGAGATTACAGGTGTGAGCCACCACACCAGACCAGTGATGCTCTGATGAAGCAGGTGTCAAGCCTACCTGCTCAGACCTCCCCTAGAGAACAGTTTGAAAAACGGCAGTTTACATGTAAAAAAGACAGAGGCCCAGAGAGGTTGTGGTTTTGTCTGAGGCTGCACAGCTTGCCCTGTCAGAGCTGGCACAGAGCCCAGGTGTTGGACTGGATCTCTTCGGCGCTTTTCAGCCCTCTGCCTTTGGCTGTCCACCCAGGGTCAGCTTCCTGCACCAGCAGCTGCAGGGAGAATATGAGGAGCTTCACGCCCACTCCAAGGAACTGAAGACAGCACTGAACAGCTCGCAGCTGGAGCTGAATCGCTGGCAGGCCCGCTTTGACGAGCTCAAGGAGCAGCACCGGAGCATGGACATCTCGCTCACCAAGCTGGACAGCCACTGCGAGGTGAGTTTGGAACTGGGGCTGAGGGCCTTAAGGGGATGGGGATGTCTCCCTCACCAACCTGGACAGCCCTTGCAAGGTGAGACCTGAGCCAAAACAGGAACCAGGACGAGGCCCCCAAGCAGATAGCTCAGGCCTGAGCAGGCTGTGATGGGCCCTTGTGGGAGTCTGTGCTCAGAGCCTCACGGAGGCCAAGAGGAAGCCAGAGGTATTGGTAGGTGGATACCATGTCTGTAGGACAGTGTCAGGAAGTACCCCTTGTGACTCTTTTGTAGCCTGGGGCGGGGGACGTGGAGACGACTGGTTATGTTCTGTGTCCGTTGTCCTGTCTACATTGTCTGTGTCTCTTCAGGTCCGCAGCCATGCTGTTCTAGAGAGATAGCGTGAATCCGCCCCTTTGGGCTTTGAGTGACTGACTCAGGACCCTGGGCCGGTAGGATGGACCTTCTCTGGGAGTCCCAGCCTCCAGAGCCGTCCCTTCAAGTAATGGTCTTGGAAATGATCTTAAGAATCACTGAAAATGACCCTCTCTGCTAGGTGTAGTGGCTCACACCTGTCATCCCCATACTTTGGGAGGCCAAAGCAGAAGGATTGCTTGAGCCCAGGAGTTTGAGACTAGCTTGGGCAATAGAGTGAGACGTCATATCTACAGATAATCAAAAAAGTTAGCTGAGCATAGTGATGGCAGTGCCTGTAATCTCTGGTGCTTGAAGATTTGAGCCTAGATATTTGAGGGTACAATGAGCTATGATTTGTGCTACTGTACTTCAGCAGTGTCTGAAGCCACATTTGTTTTTGTCTCAAAAGAAAAAAAAAAAATGAAAACCCTCTCCCAATGAGATCCTTAACAGGCTGGGTCTACCCAGGCAGGTAGAGCACGCCTGGCAGGGAAAAGCAAGATGGCCTCACCTGGCCACATAGGCAGACCAGGACAGCAAGTGTCCTTGGGGCAGGGTTCGCTTTTGCCTTCGGATTGTGGAGAAACAATTTCAGAGCCTTTTCCATTGACGATCAGTGACCCGGGAGACATCCCAAGTGAGGAAGCCGAGGCCCAGGGTGCTGAGAAGCCTCGGTACAGTCACCCTGCCCCATCTTATGCTATGCCCAAGGTTGGGGCCCCAGGGCCCTGAAAGCCCACTGGGTGGGGGCAGGGCTGAGATAGGCATCACACTGCCTGAGAACCCTTGCCTGCTGGAGGCCGTACTATTGGAGGTAAGTCAGGGTGTTCCAGGAGACTTGGGTCAGGGGTCCACAGACATGTTGCAGCTGTAGGAGCATTGAAGGACTAGCAAGACCTGGACATGTGAGGGTGGGTGTTTCACAGGGAGGACTGATGTGGCAGACATGCGTGGGGGGCTTCATGGAAACACTGATGATTGAGACCGGTTGTAACACAGGTCACGAGAGGGGATTGGGGAGAGTCCTTAGCAGAGATGGCTGGTCATGGAGATTTAGCAGACTCCAGGCCCAGCACAGACGCATCCCCCACTGGTCGGCTCAGGTGACCGTAGCAAAATGCCATAGGCTAGGTGGCTTAAGCCAGTGGTCCCCAAACTTTTTGACATCGGGAATGGGTGTCGTCAAAGACAGTTTTTCCATGGACGGGGCAGGGATCATCAGGCATTAGGTTCTCATAAACACACAGCCTATGTCCCTCACACGTGCAGTTCACAATAGGATTCACGCTCCTGTGAAAATCTAATGCTGCTGCTGGTCTGACAGGAGATGGCGATCAGGCGGTAATGCGAGCAATGGGAAGCAGCTATAAATACAGATGAAGCCTAGCTCACTTGCCGCTCACCTCCTGCCGTGCGGCCCGGTTCCTAACAGGTCACGGACCAGTATCGGTCCATGGCCCAGGGATTGGGGACCCCCAGCTTAAGCAGTAGGAATGTATTTCTCTCCTGGAGGCTGAAAGTTCAGGATCCGTGAGCCAGTGTCTTCAAGGCCTTTCCCTCAGCTGTGTTGCCAAGGCTGGTCTCCGACTCCTGGGTTCAAGTGATCTTCCTGCCTTGGTCTCCCAGAGGGCTTGGGTTGCCGGCATAAGCTATAAATAAGGTTTTAGTGGAGTACCGCCACACCATGTGCTTATATGCTGTCTAAGGCTGCTTTTGTGCTGGAAGGCAGGTCAAGTGGCTGCAGCAGGGACCGTGTGTGCCTTGGAAAGCCGGAAGTATTTGCTTTCTGGCTCTTTACAGAAGAAGTGCTGCTTCCCTTCTGGAGCAAAACTGTCTAGGTGGAATGTCACCAAGCCATAGCCACAGCTGAACATTTTCTAGTAGCCATGCATAAAAAACTATTTTCATAAACATTAAATTGATTATTATGTTATATTTCACTTAACCACTTCATGTGATAAATTGAAAAGCTATTGGAGAGAGTTTCTATATTTTCACAAAAGCTTTTAGGACATGCTGTGTGTTTTGCCTGGGGATACATCTTCTTTAGGACTGACTGTCTTGTTAGGTGCTCAGTGGGCATGGGTGGCTGGGCCACCTGGACGACCGGGCTGCTGGGGGTCCTCAGCTGTTTCCCTCGTCATTGGCTACTTGGTCCTTTCCAAGCTTCCCACATGGAGATAACACTGAGGGGACCCTCTGTATGCGGGCCATCTTCTTCCTGTGGAAGCCAGGTTCCTAGCGGCGGGGTTACGGGTCTGAGCTGCGCTGGTCTGTGTTCCAGCTGCTGTCCCGCCTCAAGGGGAACCTGGAAGAGGAAAACCATCACCTCCTGAGCCAGATCCAGCTGCTGAGCCAGCAGAACCAGATGCTTCTGGAGCAGAGCCTGGAGAGCCGGGAGCAGTACCACGAGGAGCAGAAGCAGTACATGTAAGGAGGGGACGCAGCATAAGAAGGACGGGACATGTGAGGGGGGACCTTGACCCTGAGGAGCAGGGATGGGACATAGGAGGGCACCCCGATGAGTAGAGGTGAGTATGTGGGAAGACCCCAACCCCAAGAAACAGGGACAGGACATGTGGAAGGACACCATCCTCAAGGAACAGGGATGGAGCATGTGGGGAGACGCTTGACCCCAAGGAGCAGCAGCAAGCCACTGGGGGCCCAGCCCTCTTCTGGAGTGCTGCAGCCCATGTCTGGGCTCTGGAGGCCTTCTGACCCTGAGGGGCCCACCCCTCCCCGCTGGCCTCGGCATAGGCCCTGTCCTCGGGCTTCAGAGGCCTGGCTGTTTTTGCCCCTCACCAGAGGCCTGTGTCATTCTGGGCAAAGCACAACCCTGGGCCAGCCCATGGTCCCTGGAAGCTCTGTCTCTGGAGGTCGCACTGGGTGACTGCTCTTGGCCTGCTTGCAGGTGCTTTCCACTGCCCAAAGCTCCTTTCTCCACTTTGAAAGTTGACCTCACTTTTTAAAACAGGCTGGCACCAGAAAGAAGCATCTCTGGTAGGAAATTCAGACCAGACTGGGCACGAGGTCTGGGAACCGTCAGTTTGCCTGGCTCCTAGATGTGGTGTGCCATGCTCACATGTCCACTTGGCTGGTGTTGGTGAGACACTCACTGACCATCGGCCTTGCAAGGGTGCAGGCCCAGAATGAACCCGGGAAGCAACAGGCGAGCGGGGGTGGGGGGGGTCACGGACAGGGCTTGTCCAGTGTAGCCAGATCGGAGGCTCCATGCAGGGTGAAAGGAGCTGTGGGCTGCTGCACATGGGAGGGGAGGAAGGGAGGGGTGGTTTGGGATGGGAGAGGGCCATAGAGGTGGTCCAGCAGGGCATGGTGGGGGCATCTGGCCAGAAGGCTGGAGAGGAGAAGACTCTGGGGCCTCCATGGCCACCTGGGGCCTATGGCCCCCCGGACATGCTGGTAAGACTGAGAGTCCAGGGACCCTGAGGGTCACCAGCTCAGGAGCCCTGCTGGGTGCCTGGTGCCTCAGAAGCTGGGCTCTCGAGAGGCCAGGTGGCTTCACTGCTCCATGCTGTGGCCTGTCTCTCCCTGTGACTGGGGATGGCTGGGCTCAGCATCCCAGCAGTTCCTGGTGTGCTGGCGCTCCTAGGAAGGCAGGAAGGGATGTGCCAGTGGAGGGACACAGCCACCATGAGCGCCATGTGCCGTTCCAGACTCTGATGTCATGAGGTCCCTGGTCCCACTACAACCCCCGTCTGCATGTCCAGAGGTGGTTCAGAGCTGGCCTACCTGCCACGGAAGGCCGGGGTGCATGTAGCCTGCCGTGACTGCGGGTGGAGACCACACTACCAAGTCCGGCCTCCACGGTTCCTCCAGTAGAGAACCCAATGGGCTGGGCAGGTGCTGACTAGCAGGGTGGGCCTGGGGCCCATGGCACCACTGGTGATGCTTTGCATCAGAAAGTGTATGCCCCGGGTCTGGGCCTGGTGGACTGCCGGGAACTGCCCGGGGCCTGCGAGCCGGTGTGTCCTGGGGCAGCCGCAGCCACAGAAGCACGCAGGCATGTGACCAGGCACACAGCAGTGAGGACAGATGTAAGGTGCAGGCATCCAGTGAGGGTCTGGGAGCAAAGAGCGATCACTTCATGGCACCCCTCCTCAGAAGCCTCTGATTGGGCTGAACCCCGGCAGCTCTGAGAACAAAGGAGCTTGAGTGGTCACTGGTGGCTAAGGTCTCATTTTCAAACAGACTAGACTGGGTGTGCTGGCTTATGCCTGTGATCCCAGCACTTTGGGAGATCAGTGCAAGAGGATTGATTAAGCACAGGAGTTTGAAACTAGCTTGGTTAATACAGCGAAAACTTACAACACAGTGAGACCTGCAAAATATTTTTTACAAAGTTAGCCGGTCATGATGGCACATGCCTGTAGTCCCAGCCACTTGGGAAGCTCAGCTGTGAGGATCGCCTGAGTCCAGGAGGGTGGGGCTGCAGTGAGCCATGATTGTGCCACTCACTGCACTCTAGCCTGGGTGACAGAGTGAGACCCTGACTCAAAAAAAAATCAAGCCAGGAAACCAGGGGTCTGGGCCATTAAGACCGCACAACTATGAGGCAGAAGCAGACCGGGAGTCCTGGTCCTGCAGGCAGCACTGTGGACATTGCCCAGGACTCAAGGCTGAAATGAAAGCTTCCCCTCCTGTTAGGAAGGGGGGCTCTCCCTGCGAGTGAGGTGTGGCTGCCCTAGGGCCAGGAGGCATCTCTTATCCCTTGCTGTGTTTTGGAAACACAAGCCAGTTTCAAGACTTGGAAGTCAGGAGAGTTTGCCTCCTAACCCAGCTTCCAGCTTCCCAGGGAGCAACACTGTGGGCCCACCTGAGCCCACACACCTGGACCAGGCTCTCTGCAGTTCCTGCCGTGCTCTGTGGAGCCCTGCTTCCTTCAGATCTTCCCTTTGGCCCTGAAACTTTGGCCCAGGCCAAAGGTCTGCCTTAGCTGAACCTTTGCATCCTTTGTGCCCAGATCGGGTTCACACACACCCCAGGAGGTGGCTTCTGCTTGCCCGGTGCCCTGAACTCCAGATCTGAGCACGGATCTTCAGGCACTCAGAGGCCTATTGCCACGAGCTCACTGCTGGCTGGGCAGATGCCTGAGACCCCAGGTCATAGGGCTCCCTGACCAGCAGAGGCGTCCACTCACGTGTCCCAATTCTGACCGTGACATCCAAATCCCGGGGAATTCCCACTCCGCTGCCCAGTGCCAGACTGGGCCCAAGTCAAATCAGTCATTTGGTTTAAAACTGACTGAATGGGTTTTCTGTCCCTTCCATTCACAGTGACAAGTTAAACGCCTTGCGGAGACACAAGGAGAAACTGGAGGAGAAGATCATGGATCAGTACAAGTTCTACGATCCTGCCCCGAGGAAGTGAGTTGGCCTCTGTTGAGTGGCACAGAGACACAACTGGCCCTCCTCCCCATGGCAGGCAGCCCCCTGGGGTCGGGCCTCCATATGGTGGGCACCTGCTCAAGTGTATCCCAGAAGCTTCCAGGGATCCTGTTGGCTGCCCTTGCCCAGCTTGTCCTGTGGGAGGGCAGACGCTGGCGACCCCATGAGACAGGTCTAATGGAGCCCTGGCACTTCCGAGGGGCAGAGCTGTGGTCCTGGGGCCTTCAGAGCAGGAGAAAGGCTACCCTGATGGTTTCCGCCCTGAAATTTTGTGTGACGTGGCCAGCCACGTCCTGTTTTTATTTGTTTTGAGTTGGGGTTCCTGTCGCCCAGGCTGGTGTGCAGTGGGCCAATCATGGCTCACCACAGCCTCAACCTCCTGGGCTCAGGCAATCCTCCCGCCTCAGCCTCCCAGGCAGCTGAGACCACAGGCATACACCACTACACCCAGCTAATTTTTTTATTTTTTGTGAAGACAGGGTCTCGCTACATTGCCCAGGCTGGTCTCGAACTCTCGGGCTTAGGCGATTCCCTTGCCTTGGCCTCCCAAAGTGCTGAGATTACAGGTGTGAGCCTCTGCACCTGGCAAAAATAGCTTTTTGACAGAAAAAAATGCCGACTCGACTGAGCACACCCGGAATTCTTCATTCCAGGAGCTAGTGTGAATTTCCACCACTACATATGTGCCCACTGTACCCGGCCTGCACCTGACAGGTGCCAGCTCCTGAGCCCCAGATACGAGAGCTCAGGCGAGGGTGATGCGCCCTCCTCCTGAGCCTTAGTGGCCCACCTTCCCAGTCTGGCGAGGGAGCCACTATCCGCCAGGGGTGGAAGCTGGATGTATCCTCCTAAAACGCTGCCTTTGACTAGGAAGAACCACTGGATTGGAGCCAAAGCCTTAGTCAAACTCATCAAACCAAAGAAGGAAGGGTCCCGGGAGCGACTGAAGTCGGCCACAGACGGTGCCCCCTGGCAACTGGAGTCCCCAGATCCGGCCTCACCATTGGCCTCACAGCCTCCCCGACCCCAGCCGGAGAACCCCGACACCCCCCTGCAGGGCATGGACTGCACAGACCAGCAGGGCACCCCCAATGGGCTGGCAGGAAAAGGTAGGGGGACTGCGCCCTGTGGACATGTGCACATGTCTGCGGGAAGACAGGGGGTGTGTGTGTGAACATGTGTGCTCCACTTAGGCGTGTCATGAGCTGGGCAGGGCCTGTGTCAGTGTTGGGACCATCTGCCTCATAACGTCATCACTTTAGCATGGGAAGCATCACCCTTGCTGTGGACTGGTAGGTGTGTGCGTACCCACGCAGATGTCTACATGGCACTGTGGAGACCACGCAGTGGGTGGTGGTGGGCTCCCTCAAGTATGTCAGGGATGATGGCAAGCCTTGTTCTGCAAGGAGAGCCTGGGCACGTTGGCGTGTCCTGTGTGTGAGAATGTCCTTGGGCGGCCTCCCCTGTTAGCCCTTGAGAGACAGGGAGGCACCATCTTCAACTGGATCTGGCTGTGAGTCCAGCGGCTGTGCACTTTAGGGCTGTCGTTGGGGTCCCCTAGAGGTCGGCACACAAGCAGGCTTCCAGCATGCGAGCTGTTTCCTCCTGTTTCAGAGGCCAGAGAAGCCACAGGGCGACTCCTAGACCACAGGGAAGAGGCTGCCTCGCGTGACTTGGTGCCCCCATTTAAGTTTTTATCACATTCTGCTGAGAGAGCGCTTCTCAGAGACTTCGGCAGACTTTCATATGTACGTGTGAGCCTGCCGAAGTCTCTGTGAGCAAGACGAGCTGGTTATGACAATAACGGCTATCACAATGGTGACCGTAGAATGCATGGAAATAGCTTTCTGACCTCGGTGATGTTAAGTATAGGAAGAAATGTTCTAGAACCAATAGAACACAGCCAATGCCTTAAAAAAAAACTTTACTTAAAAAAAAATGTTTTTAGAGATGAGGGTATCACTCTGTTGCCCAGGCTGGTCTCGAACTCTTGGCATCAAGCAGTCCTCCCGCCTCCCAAAGTGCTGGGGTGACAGTTGTGAGCCACTGCACACAGCCAGATTTTTAGTATTCTTAGGGATGATTCATGCCAGGACCGCACCCTGTGCCCTGTGGTACACTGGGACTTTTTCAGGATCTGGCCTGGGCCTGGGACTTTAGCTCTCAGGTCTGAGGATGGAGTCCTGAGGACCCAGGACAGGCTGTCCTCTGGGTGTGACAACGTGCACAAGCCTCGGGATGACATTCATTGCTGCAAGTACCTTTTGTGTCACAGATGCAAAAAAGAAATGTAACGGCATGGTGGCTCACACCTGTAATCCTAGCACATTGGGAAGCCAAGGCGGGTGGATTGCTTGAGCCTGGGAGTTCGAGACCAGCTTGAGCAACATAGCGAGACCTTGTCTCTACAAAAAAAAAATTTAAAAAATTAGCTGGACCTCGTGATATGCCTGTAGTCCTAACTACTCAAGACGCAGAGGCAGGAGGATCATCTGAGCCCAGGAGGTTGAGGTTGTGGTGAACCATGGATAGTGCCACTGTACTCCAGCCTGGGCCATAGAGTGAGACTCCAACTCAAAAAAAAAAAAGAAAGAAAGAAAAGCAAAGTGCTCCAGCTCACACGCATGGGTGCTGACACGCATGCCCTTATTCTTACAGGGCAAGTCAGGGAAGGGCGTGCATGCCAGTGATGTGGTCTTTTATCTGGAGGGATCTGTGGCTTCCATTGTGCATACTGGTGACAGCTGCTTAACTTTGACATTCATCCTCACGTCAAGTCAGTTAACTACAGTCAGACTGATTGAGTCAGAAATTTCAGAGAAAGAGAAGGTTGCCTGGGCCAAAGTGACATGGACCCAGGAGCACGCAGGTCAGGGACCACTGCTGACAGCCGCTGCCCTGTCCTAGCACCTCCCCCACCCCTCAACCAGGACACAGCGCTCTCATCTCACCCACCCGTGAGATGCGTGCGGCTCCCCATGCTGGGTGAGAGGCCAGACCAGTGCTTGTAGACATTGGAAGTGGGGTCCAGATGCAGTTCCGTCAGGCTCTGAGCCCTGACACTTCCTCCAGGGAGGGTCCCTTCGGTCCTGGAGGTACTGCCCAGCCCCGCTCAGACAGGCCCTGACTCTGTGGTGTGAGCCATGGCCACCAGGTGGCGCTGTGGAGCAATCGATGGCGGCGATTCCAGCATCCTAGCTCAGAAATGGGTCAGGTTGGTTGTTGTGGTCATAACTTTGTATCTGGGAGGTTAGACCAGCTGCCTGCTCTATGAAGGCCCCACAATGGGGAGGCTGCAGAGTGAGACTGCAGTGGAGGGTGTGCAGGAAGTCTGGGAAAATCATGACTTTTCTTGGCCCCGAGGTATTTTTTGTATGATAAAAAGGTATTTTAATTTTTCAAAAATTCATCCTGCCAAAAGAGATACAAGAAAGTGAACACTTCAGGCAGACTCATGCCAGGGGCCTGAGATCTGCAAGTGGAGCAGGAGCAGAGGTGACCGAATGGTCCGAGACCCTGTCATTCGAGACGAGGGGGCTGGGTCCTGAGTTAATCCTGTTAATAGTTTAGCACATTGAAACTGAAAAGCTGTCTACACTGCTGGCTCCTTGGGTGGTATGCAATTCTTGTCATGTGTGAGGTAAACCCTTGGTGCCAAGATGCCCCTAAGTGAATTCAGTTGAGTCCACACGCGAGTGACTCGCTGAGCCCGGGTTCTTGTCCATCACGCACTGGGCCCAGCTTGCGTTTTCCTGGGCCAGCAGGATCCTGCCTTCCTGAGCTCATTTAGCTAACCTAGATTCATCTGCTGTCACTGTTCATTTCATTTATTCGTTGTTTTTTTTCCTTCCTCTTTTGGGTTATCTGGCTGATAACAATTCAGCATCTCAGCGCAAAAAGAGTCCCTTTTTGAGAAGCAAAAGCAAGGACAAAGACAAGCCCCTGATGACCCACCCGGCCCTCTCCACACGCCTGCGGTTCTGGTCCTCCGACACCCCGCCCTCCCCCAGCGAGCCTCTCTCTCTCTCGGACCTCGGGGATTTCTAACCCTTCCCTCTCATGTGTCTACATCGCATGTCCTCCTCCGTTTCTGAGATTCAGACATACCTCGCCCGCGTCTGAAGGCCAGGCGGCTATAGCCAACCCTCTCCCCACCCCGTTCCAAGCTTAAAGTAACCTGCATGGATTCTGATTTCAAACAGAAGACCGGTTGTCATGCTCCTGGCACCATGTCTTCCTTGCAGCCCGGTCTCAGGGCTGCCTCGGACGAACGCGCACATGTCCTGGGGCCGGGATGTCCGCACTGAGTAAGTCAAGTGGCCGTGTACTACCCCCCGCACCTGCAAGCTCCTGTCCTGCCGTGTGTCAGACCCGGCTGGCTGGGCTGCTGCGCTTCCTAGAGGGACAGCCTCCGTGCCTTGAGTCTCTCTTTCAAGACTGACTTTTGAGCCGCTGAACGTAAAGCTGCCACCTTCCCTCCTCTACCCCTGCTGGAGCACTGAGTTGTTGGCTTTCGCTTAGAAGGCCCCTTGAGGCATGTTCTGTATCCCGAAGGCCAAGGGCTCTGTCCAGGCATTTTGAATCACAGAATGGATTCTTGCCCAGCCAGAGTGGAGTTTCACGACTGCAGTAGCCCTTGACATCCTAGATGCCAAAGTCAAGACAGTAGGAGACAGAGAGGACACCAGCACACAAGTCAGGTCCACAGCAGGATATGTGCTAGCAAGCCCCACACGCTGTCTCAGGCATGCCTGTGCCATCCTCGTGGGCGCTGCCACGTCCTCATTCCTCCTGCCCTGCGTTTTCCCTCCTGCTCACTCACAGCTTGCAGTCACGTTTATTTTAAAAGGACAGACTGCCCGGGCATGGTCCTCATGCCTGTCATTCCAGCACTTTGGGAGACTGAGGCAGGAGGATAGTTTGTGCCCAGGAGTTTGAGGCTACAGTGAGCTGTGATCTGATTGTGCCCCTGTACTCGAGTCTGGGCAACAGGGTGAGACACCGACTCAAAAAATAAATAAAACACATAAAAGGAAAGCTTGCTGTGTCAGTCCTGTGAGTGAAGAGCACCTGTCACCATAAAAACCAGGGAACCAGAGCCATCCTATGTGCATTAGAACATGAAGTTGGCAGACGGGCCGCTGCCTTTGCCTGCGTGCCTTGCTCGGGAAGCCCAGGCCACTGAGCCGGAGCCTCTGGGCTGTCCTCCGTGCCGTGAGAGTCGTGCTATCTCTGTGTCTCTGCCGTGTGCTCACTGCTGCTTGTCCACCCCCCACCTCACCCTCCTGGGTACCTCAGCCCACTGTGGCGTGGCCTGTCCCATACATCCCGCCAGACTTGGGTCTTGATTCTTATCCGGGGTAGCTTTCAAAATCCAAGTGTCCCTGCATTTCACATCTGGACATTTAAGATAGCACAGGGAGCCCAGACCAGGCCGGGGGTTGGAGGGACTGGGTCTCAGCAGCAGGTCCTGGCTGGGGTCCACAGCCCTTGGGTGCGTGGGGCAGGATGTTTTGCAGAGTGCTTGCTCAGCTGTTAGAAATGCCAACCATGTTGGTTTTTTTTTTCCTTTGGTCAGAGTCTCATTCTGTCGCCCAGGCTGGAGTGCGGTGGTACAATTATGGTTCACTGCAGCATTGACCTCCTGGACTCAGGCGATCCTCTCACCTCAGCCTCCCATGTAGCTGGATCTACAGGCATGCGCCACCGCACTCAGCCAATAGTTTTTTTTTTGGGGGGG